GTTTGTGGTTTGTTGTTTTGTCCTTTTTTAGCCTTGCTGCTTGATTGTAAATTGGCTCATGAAAAGTGATCAAAATACTGCATTTTTATCACAATCATAACGCTACGTGACGAAAAAAATTAAATTTGTCAAGGAAACGGGGAGTTAAACGGATGTTCTGATGCAGTGACTGGCATGATTGTTGAATAAAGTGGCAGTGGTCAAAATATATTCAAAAGCTACAAATTATGAACAAATCGGACGAATAAAATACTCAGTAATATACAAGTCGTGAGTTAAAATTTTACCAGCTTGGAGCATCGTGAACAATCCCCACTGTGGTTGTTGCATCAGAATGTGTGTATTATGTTCGCGTGCTTTGCAAGCGTAATATGTACGTGTATGAATATATACCTAAATTAAAAACAAAAAACTTATTTAAGACATTGAATGTTTCCATTGTAGGTACAGCGAACAACGCACAAAGCTATAGGCAAAATAGCCACGACAACTATATCATACGCTGCAAAAACACACACTTTCGTTAATAGTATACATTTTCCATCGACCTTGCTGACATCTTTAAACCAGTGCTTACGCTTCTACTGACCTCTTCAGCTGTCAATGGCAGACTTCGATGCAATTTATGAGGAAGAGCAATTGGAGGAGCACTATGAAGATCAAATGGTTGCACCCGTGCACGAACCCATCATCATACGAGGTTGTGGCAACATGACAGTGTAAGTTGTATCGCTATCATTGTTTATTTTTGATACATACATATCGTCGTTTAAAGTACAAAACCACGTATCGTCATTCAGCAAAACCGCGTAACTGACATTTGCTACCAAAAATTGGATTTGCTCACACAAGCTTTTGGCTTAATCCTTATCCATTCGTCTTGACATATACTAGCCAGATGTGCGATTGCTGTATAAAAAAGAACTATTTTGAAACATGAGTGCTTTTACCTTCTAGAAAATGATTTATGCAACCTCACATACGCGGCTTTTGCATTTTGTTGATACGCGGTTTTGTACTTTAAACAGCGATACGTATGTACATATGTATGTAAATATTCATAATAAAGAACATAATCGTGAACATGCCCATTGAAATATTTTTATTTCAATATCATTGGTTGGGGACGACCTTGTCCAAAATATTCCCATCGTTACAAAAGGCAATAGTCACTTTGTTACCCTGTATTTATACAAATTAATAATTTTTCTTATTTGGGCGATTCATTTAATAAATTATCGTCCTTTCATAATTGCAGGTTTGGTCTGAGTAACCGTTTCAACATAGAATTTCCCTCGGGTTTAGTTTCGCGTGTGGCCCCTGAAGAATTTAAAGCAACGATCGGGCGAATTAATGGTGTTCTAAAGAAAACATTACCGGTAAACGTGAAATGGCTTTTCTGTGGCTGCGTCTGCTGTTGTTGCACGCTTGGTTGCTCTCTTTGGCCGGTCGTTTGTTTGAGTAAGCGGGTAAGTTGATACATCCAATGAAGTTATTGAAATTAAAATACTACTTTTGAATGTTTCTTCATTTCCCGTGTGTAGACACAAAATACTCTTGACAAATTGCTGGAATGGGAGAATAGTCATTTATATCATAAACTTGGCCTACATTGGCGACTGCATAAGCAACAATGTGATTCTAATTCAATGATGGAGTATGTATTACGAATTGAATTTATACCGAAAACGCCGATATATCGTCCGGATTAAGAAAAGCACGAAGTCAAACACACATCAGTTTGTTGGGTAGGGTACGTCAATCGTAGGCTTTGATTATACCGGTACTAGGAAGTTATAAAAAGGTTTGTGTATAAATACTTATATATATACATTAACCAGCAAGTAGATCGTCGATAAAAAATTGCCAACTGACTGACATTGGGTAGTCAATAGTTGTCAGCGATATTCGAACCTCAGCGAAAGAGTTAGGAAGGTGGAAAATGCAACAGCATATCGTAAGGAGTTGGGAAGGTTTTTATTATTGTAATGGATTCTAAGGGGTTTATGGCATTAAAATTGGTTTTCGATAGATGACATAAGATGGGTTTGTGGCAATAGGCATTTCGGGAGGTTAATGCTTGTTTTAATTTACCATTACTGCTTTCTTACGTACACACAGAATTCTATTTGTTTTAATTATTTAATGTTGCTAGATTTGCACTAACAAATAGCGAAATAAATTGTATTACAAATCTCCTGAAAGATTAATGTAAATGTGATGAAAAGTAAAAACAAATATTGTATTTAATTTCAGCTAATTTAAGTAGTATTACGTAGATATAGACACATACATACATATTTACAAGAAATCTTAAAAAAATAATATTGCACAGGAAGCTTATGCTAAAGTGACAAAATTGTATTCGCTTAGAATTAAGTCAGTGAAATTTATTTAAATGCAAATACTAATAAATAACTTATAAATAAATGAATCTAAGAATTCATTAAAAGATGAAAAACGATCTTTTCACTTAAAATCGGTTAAATACGAACATTCAGTGGCAGCCACATAATTAGGGACACACTTTATAAGTTTTGATCATTTTTTTCCTATACAGTCGGGACTAAGTAATCGGAGCCACCATATTTATTCCAGTGCTGTCACTCCAGCAGCATGCACCAAAACTATTTGGAGAATTTACATACATATATGGAGTTACAACAAAAAAAAAACTAAAAATAAAAACAAAAAATGTAAATAACCGGTCAAAACAGAAGTACAAAAAATTGTGACAAACTCTTGATCTTGCATACATTTTTTAGAAAACGTGAGATCGGTGGGGACTAGGACTGGGGGCTATAACCGTATTGTTTTAATGTCCCAATAGTCCGGATATTCGAATATCCATTAGAAAAAGATGAAATGGTCAGAGCTCAACGCCTTCTGATTCATATAGCTTAGCTTAGAATAATATGTAATGTAAATGGCAGAGCTATTGGAAAATCTTCTATTGCAACCGCTTCTAAAGAGAAGTTCTTATTCCAAAATCACGTCTAAAAGCTTTTATTTGAAAATACACTTTGAAGCTTGCCCCACCCACGTACCTACCGGCTATAAAATCAGGTGGTTCACTTTGCAGTCACATTTTCACGGGAATACACTACATACATAGTATATACATGAGTAGATATGTATGTATGAAATATTGTATTAATCAAGGTCCGGGAACGCGTTCCAGTTTTGGTTTAGTTCTGCACGAACGTTCTTTTGTGGAACAAAAGTATTAAGAGCAGTTTGAGCGGGAAAAAAATGAGAACAAAAGGTTCGGGAACGTTTCCGTAAAGAACAAAATGCGAACAAAACTCTCGGAACGTTACAAGAAGCGCAGATAGAGAACGAAACTTTCGGGAACGTTTTCAAGGAGAGTAAAATAAGAACAAACGTCTGAAGAATGTTCTGCTAGAGAATAAAACAAGAACAAAAGATTTGAGAACCTAACTATGCAGCGATGATATTTTCAGGGACAGTATTTAGTCGAGAGAGAGTTCTAGCCTAAGTGAGAGGTTTTATCACGTTTTCTTTCTTTGCTAGAGCTTCTCAAATATTGCAAAAAAGCGCGATTTTTTGACACTTTGACCTCGTTTTTCTCAAAACCTGGACCTGATGGAAACTTTATACTTACCGGTTCATAAACAGCACAAAAAAGTCTATCAAAAACAGGGCTCGAATCGTAACATCCGTTCACTGACCGAAAACGATACGAAAGAAAATTACGTTATACGTCAGGCAGTATAAGCTGAATGGGACACAGAGTACGTTCACGTATGCCATAATCCGAAAAATGTGTTTTTACGTGACGAGTAGTACGATATCGTATGTGACGATTCGAGCCCTGCTTTGACATTTGCCGCACCAAAATCAGTGTTGCCCGGTGTAAGCTTTCCACACAACACTTTGCTTTTGTTATTATTTTATCGCGCTATTCAATCGTGAATTACAGTAGAACTTTTACGAATCTGGTTACTTTCTTTTTGGATTCTTGAAGCACGTTGTTTGCCACTGTGGGAAACCCAAATTGTTATACACACCTACACATTTCAATTACCTAACTCACTTAATTAAAGTTGAACTCGATTTTTAAGGAGGTGGTAACCCTCCCACATGTTCAGAAATAAAGCCTTTTCAAAACCATTTCGATCGATACCCACATTGTAATAATTCATTTAACTTAATTGCATTTAACTTTTTAACAGGTGGCAACTCTAAAAGTAGATATAAACCTTCTCTTCGCCGAGACGATTACGTATGTAAGTATGCACATAGGTATGCGTTTTTCTACAATCGAACCACGACAACATAATAGAGTCTATCGATGTCAAACTTTAAGCAACTGAATTTTAGTTGTTTTGGTGGTGGTGGAATAATTGGACGTTCTATTTACTTGCTTTTAAACATTTACAATTTTAAATTTTTCTAAACATTTTGAGCTAAATAAAAAATAAAAAAAATTGGTCGATTCATTCGCCGTAACTAAAAAAATGGAAACATGTGCCGCGGGCCCCTATTCAAGCGCCTATATAGCCTATGCTTAAATTCGGCCCTGTAAGTATGTATTTTTTGATTAATTTACCTCGATGAATTTGTAATAGATATTTTGCATTTAATAAGTTTTTATTTTTCGGTTAATTATACATATTTAAGTATATATGTACATACATATTTTAAAGGTTTAAACGTACAAATAATTTACATATGTATATCATCACCTGAAATGCAAAAATTGGTAATAAACGTCGCCACTGAAATGGAAAAAGTCGTGACTTATTTTTTCATCAAACGATGTGGGGAGTTATAATTCGATAATTCTACAATATCAATCAAAAAGTGAATTTTGAATTTTTTTATTAGTTACTGCTTTTTGCATTTCAACGACGATGTTTGTTACGTCTTTTTGCATTTCAGGTGACGATATGTGGCTTGTCTTTTTGAAATACTTGTAGTAATTTTTTTTTAATTAATTTGTTTCATTCTTCACCAAACAAAAAGAAAATACATATGTAGTTCAATTGTGCTTGTACATAGTAAATATGTACATAGATATCGCTCATTTACTTCAATAGTGTAAAAAAAAAAATAAAATAATAAGAATTGAGTTATGTATGCAGAAAATACCGCAACCACTTCATCTGTGTTATATACATACTATGTTGTATCGAGTAGTGCTTAAGACACTATTAAAGTAAATTACCGATATGTATGTACGTTAAAAATCATCTTTAAACATAACTTTCTGGTGGGGAAAAACAAAACAAGTTTTAAAACTTAAATCCATTAATTTATAAACTAGTTTTACTCTTATGTGGTATTAAGTCTTAGTGCGATTATGAATGTTGCGCAATGGGAATGTTTATTTTTTAACAAAAAAAAAGCAACAATAGAAAACACAGAAATAATAGAATATAAAATAATAAATAAGTATAAATACATATAGTATATGTACATATAGATGGTCCTCTACACTACCGACACAATTAAAAATTCAAAAAATAAAATCATTTACTACTGTTAAGTGGCTCATGTTTCTATTTCCTTGTCTTATCCATGTCTAATCTTTACTAAAGTGAGTAGTAAGGATTAGACATGGATAAGACAAAGATTAGGGACATGACCCACACACAACAGTAAGTAGTAAGAGTGTCGTTATGGCAGAGAACCATCGATATGTACACCGTTTTGCAATAAGTGGAATGTTACGAGAACATTGCAATTAACCAGAGATAGAAAATATCCGTTAAAAAGTCAAGATTTTTATTTTTAGATTGGAATTTTTTTTCATTTGAATTTTTTCGATCAAGAATATTTGTTAAATTTCTATATTTATTTTTTCGGTCACATTTAATAGTTATTTTGTAATTTTTAACTTTTTCGAACAAAAATTATCGCTATTTTGGATATTTATTTTTTTCGATAATTTTTAACCGTTATTATGGAGACTGCGTGTTTAAGAACGATTTAAATCTTTTATGATCTAAAAAATTTAACTCTGAAAATAATGGTTAATATAAAAGGGCTCGAAAAAAATAAAATAAAAATAAACACGACTATTGATCGAAAAAATAAAAATCATAAAATAAAATTGAAAATAACGGTTAATATAAAAGGGGATCGAAAAAAATAAACACGACTATTGATCGAAAAAATAAAAATCATAAAATAAAATTAAAATTTGATCGGTAAAATAAAAATCAAATTACAATTTTTTACCGTCACTGCAAGGTGAGAAGGCCTAGTACAGCCATAGCATTTCCTCTTATTAATATTTCTTAGCTTTATTTAACGGAATTTACGTTGGAATGTGCATTGGTTTGTTCCGTTTCGGCTATCTTTTCCACTTGGCCTTACTTACATACATACATACATACATATGTATGCATGTATCTACATTCTTTTTGCTTAACAGTTAATTCGCAATTTTTCTTAACTTTTAACTTAAGTATTTGTATATTTCTTCTAACACCCTAATGTCCAGTTATTTGTATGGGATCGGATGTATAATCTTCATGTTGCGTAACATCATTTTGTTCCTCTAGTTCTTCTTCTTCTTCTCCTTCTTGCCGGCTCATTGCCTCGCGTGAACTTTGTTCTATATCATTGCTATTATCCTGCAAATATTCATTAACTTCATACTCGTACTGATTCTGTGTATCTTCGCCGCCGCCCTCATCATCGCTCAGCTCCAGCTGTGCGTGTACGTTTCTCATAAGTAATTTCACTCCGTCTTCCTCCTCATCCTCATCCTCATCCTCATCCTCATCCTTATCCCCATACCCATCCGCAGGCTTCTCCTCGTCTTTTACTTCGTTATTTCTAACTGTTGCTCTACTCTTGCCGTTATGCAAAACTTTTGCATTCTTGCACTTATTTTGCTGTATTTGTCGCGGCTGCAACTTTCCATAATTTAAAATCTGCTTTCGCTGCTGTTTCTCCATTCTCTTCTTACGTTTTTCCAACTTTACAGCGCTTCCCATCAAATCTTTACTCATTTTTTGGAACTGCTGCGCTTGTTCCTTGAATGCTTGCATCAATACCGCATCTTGTTGCAACTGGAACTCGTGTTCTTCGCGTGCCAGTTTCATTTGTCGCTTGAAGAACTCATTGATCACTTCGCGCTGCATTTGTCGCAAGGAAACGGCCACATCTTGCAATACTCTTGCATAGCAGTTTTCCCGCTCAACACTTTCCAAAGATGGTAGCTCTTGCTGTTGTTGTTGTTGTTGCTGTTGCTGCTGCTGCTGCTGCTGCTGTTGCTGCTGCTGCTGTTGTTGTGTAGCGGTTTGGTATGTCGAATTGCTTGCCTCGTCGGAACTGACATTCAGTCCATCATCCGCTGCATAATCCATAGCTGCTGGTCGGGGAGCTATATTTCTTAACGTTTCGGGCCCGCATGCCATTCGCTTTGATGGCATTACTGTGCTCATCATGAGCGATGCTTTTAGGCGTCGTTTTCGTGCTTCCATCTGCTGTGCCTGTTGGCTGGTAGACGGGCCGTCTGGGAAACCGTAAAACGGTTGCTGCGCACGGTATTCGTGTGGCGCTGCCGCTATGTCTAAATCGGGCACTACCACTTCTTGATGCAACACGTACGGCTGTACCACAGCGGGCCGGCCTGAAGTAGGTGCAATAGTGAGCCCTTTTGGACCATTGAGCGTGAATTTGCGTTGAAAGGACATAGCACCAGCGGTATTAGTGCCTGTGTTGGCGGTGCCGGTGACCGCGGCGGCGGTGTTAACTCTGCCGCCATTGGCATATACGCTACTGCTATAGGCGCTACTCAGTCGGAATGCACGTGATGATGTTGGATTCATGGCAAGGGGCGGTGGTGGTGGTAAATTAGTGGTCGATATGGGCGTTGCCATATCACTTGGCGGCACCTTGGCGAAGGGTGCTATGCGCAGAGGCGGTAATGGTGTGGGACTTGCTGTGCTCGCGCCACCAGATCGTGTCTGCGATGGGGTTGAGACCATTTTGGGTGTGCTTGTGGCATTCGGTGTGGCTGTGGTGTTGGATGTTGACGCGGCGACCGATGTCGAGGGCCGCGTGGTGCGTCGGCTCAGTATCATTATCTCTGGGGCACTTTGCCTTTGTTGTGGCTGTTGATATTCTAATTGAGGCTCGACTTGAGGCTGTGGTGTAGCCGAATTAGATGCCATCGGTGAGTCGGATTCTTCGTTTACCTCCTGCTTAATTTCCGTTTGGAACTGTATATTGGCGGTTGAGTCCTTCTGCTTAGCCTTACCGCTCTCGTAACCTGTGTGAGAAATGAAGTAAAAGTTGCTGTTGAACTCAAAAATCTACATACTTAAGTTAAGTATAAAAAGAAAAAGATTATAAGTGGACTTTTTTGTATTTAGATCAGTTATGCTCACGAAAATCTTTTACTCTGTGCGCGTCCACATAAATCGGTTGGGGAGCCTTAAAGAATTCTGCTCGCGGGCGCTGTTTTGAGCATCACTAATTTATATGGAGTCCTACTAGGTATTCGGCAATCTTTTTGCAAATGAAGGTTTACTTACCGTCCAGGAGGCATATATTTTAGTAGATACCTTTAACTTACTTTTTAATTGGCTTTTCCAAACGACTTTGATGCATAATATTTTGTCACGTCTTTAAGTACAGGTTCTTAAATGCTTTCCGCTGGGATCTAAAAGGAAACTCTTCGTGTAGTCTTAAACTGGTGCACCAATGCCCAAAAAAAGGTGTTCACAATCAAGGCGTGGCCGTTTATTCATTCAATTTGTTGAATCTTCCGATGAAAATGACGCGCGCATCCTTAAACTGTCTCCCCTCTATAGTAGCTTTCTTCAAATATAACGGAAAAAGTTCTCGCGTTGCTATGTTTAAAGCTCCGGATGGCTCTTCGAACCGGTGAAGGAAATCCAAAATGAATTCTTATAGGTAATATGGAAAAGGTAGCTCAGTAGGGAGAGTAAGGATTTTTAAATTCTTGACCAAAGAAATGTGCTTTGAGTGGAGTGACAAAAGGTCATCACAACGAACTGCGTAGGCCAAAGAGTTCGCCATTATACTAATTTTACCCTTATTAAGACATGACATGATTAAAGATTTTCGAGGAGAGCACTAAGGACGTACCGTCCGGTGCAACATGTCTATCAGCACAGGAAGCTAGTTTCTAATATTGAGGAGGCGTTTCGCCAGAGGCACTACGGTGAATGGCTAAGAGGGCAGGACGATGGCGGTGAACAAAGGTATTGGTTAGTGTACTAGACGCGAAAAGGGTGGAATACCCCTTGGACACCCTTAATCCGATTTATGTTTACTCTCAGGCCATAAAATATAAGTTGCATTGAACTTTATTGACTCTTGATGTGCAGGAAGCGGTCTGCCCGTTAATCCTCTAAAAAGTAGATAACAATTCACCAGCAGAATAAGAATTAATGATTTGACTATGCGCATCAAGCTGAGTATAATAGCCCGAACACAATGAAAACGACGAGCCACGACGTTGTGGCCAGATTAGATCTATTTCTATTTTTCTGGCGACAGATAAGGTTCTTCCTCTTCTTTTATGTCAAACTCATACAAATTCATGATGTCGCTGCCGCGTTCAAAGAAATCATGTCGCCATCGACAAAGCGCTTAGATAATAAAGATGACAAATTGGAAGCTGTGGTCGGTAACTCGTCGTTTTCAATGTGTTCAGAACTTAACTCAGCGCCGTTGTCTTCTTGAATGTGTGTGGAGGCTTTGGTTAAATTTGAGCTCTACCACCTAAAAGGGTTCTATGGGAATATACTACAAGAAGAAGAAGGTAGAAGTTGCAACACTTAGGGCTATAAATCTATCATGCTGCATTGAACGATATTTCCAGAGCTATTGTAAACTGTACCCTTAGTTACCTTCTTTGGGATACCTGGGTTCTAGAGCTTATTAGCGAACGAGATTGTAGGTTATTTATCGGTTTGTATAGGTTTAGTTTGCCAGTTGGCAGCCCATGTGCCTCTGGCCTGGATAATGTATACAGTGCATTACTTTAGCCGTATTCTAGACTCAGGTGAGTAAATGACGCCTATATCGAAAGTATGGCCCAGTATTTAAAACCAACGTATTTACAATCCTCAAGGCAGGAGAAGCAGGAGTTTCTGCAACCAGTTATAGCCCACCCACCTTCGGCCATCGAAGCCACCGTCAGAAACTGGGTAAAACTTAGCTCCGAAATGACTGGGTAGCTTCGGGGGCTGCACGTGGGAAAGACTCAGGTTACCCTCAACCTTAAAGGGTCTTGGGAGACTGTTGATTGGTCACTTCTCGGAGCCATTTGACCTTCCAGCCTTGAAGAGGATGAGACGGTGGATCATTTTTTATGCTTCTGCATTGCCTTTTTAAAAATTGGGTTTGAGGGTTTTGCTAGCAATGGGTTGTGAGACGAACACCTGATATCTTTAAAACCCAAAAATTTGCTCCGCCTTATTCGCAAACCATGTAGATTTTACACGGATTGAAGGGAAAGACGAAAACAGTACCGTGGACGACATGTAGGACTGTTTTCTGAACGCGTTGTTTTGTATTAGTTCCGACAAAAAAGTCCTTTTCCGGAAGAAGCGGAAAATATACAGAGGTATAGTGAGGAACCTGTTGATAAAGCGTTGATCCGGATTAAGTCGTTAATTTGGAATTATCTCGGCAATTAACTGCAGTTGATCCAGATAAAATCCTGCAGCTAATCCGCCAAATTAATGCGGATGACACGTATTGAGAGCGGCGTACTACAATTCCTTATTACCCAGGTTCGATTCTCGGTTCGAGCGATTGCCAAAAATTTTTAATATAATTTTTTTTATTTTATAAAAATGAAATGAAAATTTTACTGGCCGTGTGACTCGAACCCACGACCTCGCGGCTCTAATTCGCATTACTGCCACCTGTTACGGTAAAATTTTGATCAGATCAACTGCGTCTTAATGTGGATCAACGTTACCGTCTGTCTTTGCTATAAACTACTCAAAAAAGTGGAGTCTTATTTGAAAAATTAATGTTAGAAGAACAGTCAACAAATCGCTTAAGAAGTTCCATTTTGGAACAGATATATAGTTCTCAGTCCTTTAGATATCTTAATAACTGTACTTCTAGCAGAGATTTCCGGTTAAAAACTTTCAAACATCTTCATTGTTTTTATTTTATTGTTAAACGATTGCTGAAAACAAAAGAAATTAGGTGTCAAACACTTTCCTATCCACCCACCTGTATCAGCTGGCTCTTGTTTCACCAGTCCCAAACGAAATCCAAAAATGGGATGTGCTAAGCCATTCTCTTCTTCCGAGTCTTGGCCGTTAGCGCTCTCATCTAGCAAATTTTTGTTCCCACTTCCATAGCCACCTTCAACGCCTGATATTATCAATTGCCTCTCATTTCCGCCACAATTGCCATTTTCCATGGCACAATTGGAATTGTCACCATCCAGCGATGTGGCTGAATTACCGCAATCACTGGTCGAACGCACCGACAAATTGTTAGTTCTATTGTGCAACATTTTATGTAATTCCTCATAAATCGGTTGCGGTATCATTTTTGGTATGATACCATTACGTCGTGATGTTCTATAAGTTGACTTGAGAAATTTCCACTTGGTCGAAATTTGTATGTGCGATTTTTTTCGAAAACCACGTGCAAACATTAGTCGTTCAACTTTACGGAATACTACATCGCTCTTCATTGCCTTTTGATTGAGCATATCGAGAGCGTTTATCTGCTGCATAATTTTCAGCACCTCCATGATCTCATTGGTGCGCCATAGATTACGTTCGCGTCCAGTCTCCATGCGGACTGGCGTCTGTTTGTTGTTGTTGTTGTTGTGTATGGGCGTTAGTAAGGCGTCCACGTCACCGACAATGCCAGTGGCGGTCGCTGCTGTTGTTAATAACTGATTAATATGTTGTTGTTGCATGCTTAATGCTAGGCTTAGTTCTGGATTATATCCGTTAAAGTGATATTGCAGCCGTGGCATCAACATTTAAGGGCTGCTTTCGGATTCAATCGAGTGGCAATTGGAGGATGTGCGAACTGGAAAATAAAAGAAAATAAATAGTTAGGTATTATACAATTAGAAGATCTACGTAAGTATGCATTACATATTATATAACGAGCAATGATTTCTTTCTCTATGGTGATATACTTTGGATCTACTGAGTACATTACAAAATTTTCTCATGTGATGCCTTTCCCTCTCATGCTATCAATCTCCTCCTTTTCCATCTGGTTAGTGGCACTGTTAACCTCAACCTTCGTTGGGGAACAAATAAAAGAACTGAATCGACCCATGATTCGTCCACGGACCACCCCAATTCCACGTTTATGATTTCTTTGGCTTGAGCTCGAGGTTGCGGTATTCTGTTACCTGAGTATGTAGAGGTGACATCCTACAGAAATGGCTTTGAGACTAATGCCGCGACTTGCCCACATAAGGGTAAGGGGCCAACCCACCGAATAGCCTCCCTGTTTCATAGATTACCATGGGATCCTATAGTGACTGCATTGCCGAGAGAGGATAGCGGATTCGAGTGGGGACTGTTTTAGCATGGACAAGCCTATATATATATAAAATAAAAAAAGGGGAAAGACAGCACAGGCGCAACCGCCTAAGGCCGAGGCCACGCAATGAGCGGCAAAGCGGCGAGCGGCTGAGCAGCTTAAAATTAAAACATACGAAATGCTATTGAAGTGGCCATGCAATAAACAGCATTTCTGTATGGCGCCGCTCAGCCGCTCGCCGCTTTGCCGCTCATTGCGTGGTCTCGACCTTTTGTGTCTTCTCACTATACGGATGACGCTTCCTGGGCGGCTCTGTGAGCAATCTCAGGTTGCTCCGTGGTAGCGGAGTGCACAATAAACGTCGTGTGCAGCCTGCACTAATGAAGGCAGCGGTTTTAAATACGACCTGGATACAGTGGGGAGATTCGACTAGGGACCAAAAAAGATATCACCGAGGGTAACTACGGACGACTCCCCTCAGGGTAAGGTCCTTGGGGGGTTCCTTCATGCTGAAAATCATAGTTGCTTCATAGGGCGACGAAGGCAGTGGTGAGGGTGAAAGCGAAGCTACAAAACTTCCAAAAAAAAAAGCTGTCATTATAACTGTCATAAGAGAGAGGATTACTTGGGCGATACAAAGCTTCAAGCCTTATGAAGCGGCAGGACCAGATGGGATTGTATCCGCGCACTGGCTGCGATGCTTGAAATCTCTGTAAATTGGCTAATGAAAATCTTCATAGTATGTATCATAGTAAGCTTAATTACGTACGTGGAGATCCGTCTCGGTTGCCTTCATTCCTAAAGTCGGTAAGGCTTCACATACAAACCTAAAGGATCTCAGACCTATTAACCTCTAATCATTTGTAGTTAAAACCCTAGCGAGTATAATTAGTAACTACCTATCTTTCGTTATTGACAGTCGCTTGCTGTCTAACAATCAATATGCCTATCTGAAGGGCAAGTCCAATTTATTGAAAAGTCCTTCAGTTACTAGGACTAAATTCAAACGCCATAATACAGAGCTTGACGGGACTGGAAGTGGACGATTCTTTGGATGAGTTTATTAGGCAGTTGCTCTTGTGCAGGCTGATCGCGGCAAACGACGCTGACAATCTGGCTTCAAGATGCATATGTGACAAGGGGCACACCGTAGGGTGTCGTGTTCTCGCCACTCCTTTGGAATTTAACCGTGAACTCCCTGTTCGCGAACGATGGAATGGGGAGCCGCGAAGATTGTCGCTTATACGGGACAGGTTCTCCCAAACTCTGTGCGATTTGAAGCAGAGGGCACTTCGCAATGTATTAAGATGGTGGCCTTTGCGTCAATTCGCATAAAGTGGAACTTGTTCTCTTTACGAGAAGACTAAAGACACCACTACTGACTGCGTCGGAACTAAATGGGCGCCTTTTAAAGTTTACAAGAATAAAGCGAAATTCATAGGCGTAATTTTTGATCGAAAACTGAGCTGCAAGGAGAACAGAGTACAGTGTTATGAGATGGCGTCTGTGGCGCTATATTCGTGCAAGACGGCCATTGGGGTTGAGCCCAAGTATATGCGCTGGACTGCCGCCGATCTATTCAAGATAGGTCTAAGCAGAACAGTCTAAGCCTCATTTGGGTCTCCTGACTTAGAATGGCTCGGAGTATCTTATCATCTTCTCCCTATCGGCAGTATCGAGGAGTATATTGCGCTTTTTGGGGTATAATCTCTTTGATAACCTTGATCAATTGGGAGACAAAAACCTTGGGTGCTTGACCAGTTTCGTCAAGGATTCAATATATTTTATTTTTATTAATTACATAGGTTTAGAAAAAAAAGTTTTTGCATATTCAACCAAACATATTGATATATCTCCAATTTATTCAAAACGCTGAATGCAAATCCGAGGTCTGTTAGCCTCCACCACGTCAGGTTCGAGGTCAAGTAGGGAATAATTCGTTGAAGAAACCTAATTCAATTCTTCTGAACTTCACCTTAGGAAGACTTTGGCATGACCTCTAGATGACCTTGAATAATCAAGGGATCCTATACATTCGAATTTTTATCTATATTCAATAAATTTTTCCCTATTTAACATTTTGAAGGTTTACGGACCTCAGATTCGGGTTGAGCGAATCGAAGAACCCATATAGTATATGAATATTTCAATGAATCTTTCGCTATTTAACGTGATCGAAGTTAACATACCTCGGATTCGCATTTAGTGCGTCGAATAACATCAGGATATATAGGTTTGGTACAATATGCATACGCATCTTTTGTGGTAAAACTGTCTTATCATCTTAAATGTAAATAGGCAAACATGTTTTCTGTACACCCCTTTTATGGCTAAAGTATACTTCTAAGGTATAAACAATTATATATCTTTAGAAAGGCATTTTGATGCTCATGTGGAGAGAGTTACCCAAATTTCAAATTAGTTTAAAACAAAGCGCAAAAATCAATTCAAAATGGTTGGGGCGGAAATGCCTTCTAAATGTAGGCTTTAATATTGAAACTGAATTAAAGAAACGTGCTTAGCAGCAGTTTAGGAATAAGATTTATGTATGTACATACATGAATAGAGTAATACGGGTGACAAACGGGCTCGCTTATTTGCATACAAAGCCTTTATTTGCATCAGCTCATGCATTTACCTCCCTCTTCCAAAAGCGCATAAGCAGCCGAAATTTTTGGGAATTAACTCGGATCAGGGGAATTTTCGATGACAACACTGGTAAAAACGTTGTTGTTTCTTTTGTAGTGTTTTTTGTTGTGTCGGATGTTGTGTCGATTTTAAATTATCTAAATGAACGTTTGCATACTTCATACACCCTTTTTTATGTAACATAATTGAGGATGAATTTGCCATATCCCAAAAACACCTTTTTAAGAAAAGTGAACAAGAGTTGGAATTTTCGGAATTAGAAGAAGATAAGGCACTGAAAATTCAACATAACGCTTTGCCATTGCTTGGATTTCGGCAACAAATACCAGATTTAAAATATCCGCTGATGAAAACAGCTGCGTGACGTATATTTTAAATTTTTTAGTACAACGTATAACTGTAAGTCTTTGTACTCTAAAAAGAAATTCGTAAAGTCAAAATACCGTTCGCGTATGCAAAAAACTTGCAAAGTAGGGGAAATTGAGAGAGCAAAGTGACATTTCATAATATAATAAGTAGTCATTTGTTTAATCAATAAACTGTGTCAGTATAACACTTTGTGATGACTTTTCGTACGTTTTAAATTTTACTCTTTTGAATGTAAACAAAAATTATATCAGCTGTTCGTCTAACTTGGAAGTTTCTGCAAATTTTCTGTTCGCGTCCTATTTTGGATATTTCGCTCTTGTGAGAGAACAGATGACATATCGCCGGAATTTTGCTGTTGGACATAAATATTTTACTGGAGATTTCAAGGAACGTAGCTATTGACTAACCAACATTTAACAGAACTGTTACGAACGACTTTAACTGACGTAAAACCAGATTTTGGAAATATGGCCAAAGGGATCTTTCAAGTTTTCTTTAATATCTATCTTACGTACATTAGGATAATAATAAAATTAATGTTTTTTGTTTCTAATAATAACGCTTTATTTAAAAATAAAGTTTTTGTTTTTTTTTTGTGGCTTTTTGTAGCATTTAGAATTCACATGTGGCTCTTATCGGTCTCGCCTTTGCCCACCCTTGTTATAATCAATTATGTTGTTCAACGCTTTTCACCTCAATTCACTTCAATTAACTCAACTAAATTTAACTCAGCTCAGCTCAGCCCACCGCAACTTCCCTTAATTTTAGAGATTTAATTTCAACCTCTGCAGCGCGCTGGGCGAACACTACTAGTTCGAATAATTTTTCTTTGAATAAACTAAATTATTTAGTACACTGCGTGACAGTGAAAATTAACTTATAATCAAAATCTCAAATACACCCTCAAAATCTGCACTTAGGGTCAAAAAACGGGTTTTTCGGGGGTCACATAGTCGTTTTGCCCATAACTTTAAAATTTCTGAACCGATCTTAAATTTTTATACGTTGCTGAAAAGAAATTAAATTAAAATCAAAAAATTAGTAAAAATTTTATAATTTTTTTTTGAGATGAGCAGTTTATTTTGAAAGTGGCATAAGTCATTTCATACCTCTTATACTTCAAATTACCGGTTACTTGTAACCAAATATATTTGTAAATCTTTCTATCAACACAAACTAACGACAAAACCTTTTACTTTTGGTTGATGAAGATGAAGAAATAACCGGCGCGTCCAGATACAAGTAACCAGTTATTTAAGTACAAGAGGTGGGAGGTGCCTCATGCCACTTTCAAAATAAAAATTGAAGATCGGTTTGGAAATGCTAAAGTTGTGGGAAAACTACTATGGGACTCCAGAAAACCGGGTTTTTTCCCCTAAATCCAGATTTTGAAGGTGTACTTGGGATTTTGAGTACATATCGTTACCTGAGTGGAAGATTGACCTATCTCGGCAGTCAGATCGAAAACTCCCTCTCTCTGCAAACTTTTCAAGGACGCCCTACTTCAGAATTTGATTGAAGAACGCCCTACCTGCGAATTCGGTTCAAAAAAAAAGTTCGCCGGTCATCCCTTCAGAAATTTTACTGGAATAATGAAAATACGTCCTCGGCAAAAGTTAAATGATTTTTGTTGAGCTTCATTTACTGACTTTGGGATAGTAAATTAGAGTGGTGGGAACTGAGATCTTGCTGGTAAGCAATGGAATAGTGTAAAAAGATTGTCTCCTCGAGATAAAAGCCTCGATTTATCATGCTTTAAATTAATTAAAAAAAGGTAAAAAAAGGTAAAAATTCAATAGTTATATCGGCAGCTGAGGTATGGAGTTTTTAAACCATTTCCGAAGATAGGGCGGGCATACGTATGGAAGTATGTACACTGCCGGAAATAAGTATTGGCACAGAGAATTTTTCACAGGATACGCACCAATTTGTATTCAAATTTTTTTTTTTATAAAAATGTGGTTCATTCTACAACAAAAAACGTGAAATATGATTTCTAGACTTTGTGAAAATTCCATAAATTTGTATGGAAATTTTCACATTTTTTCATACTAACTTCAAACTTGAATTTTTTTATACTAGAATTTAATGGGCTACAAAACTGCATACTCAAAAAAAAAAATTCTAAAAAATCTGATTAAAAAGTCGAAAATTTGCAGGGAAACTTATTCAATTTTCCGAGTTTTGCAAAAAGTACAGAAATTGTATTTTTATGTTTTTTTGTCGTAGTATGAACCATATTTTTATAAAAAAATATTAGCGGAAAAAATAAGCAATAAAATTTGTTGCGTATGTATATTGTAAGAAATTCTCTGTGCTAATACTTTTTTGCGGCAGTGTATGTATGTATGTACATACATATATTGCTCATTTACTAAAATAATGTCGCAACTCAAAAAATGAAGTTTTCAATTGACACCCATCCTGCAGAAATTGGGTTCGCTTATTTTCTTCTCACCCCGAAACTTTGTAGATACGCAAGATTTTATCACTAAAATTTTACACAATGTAAAGCGTAATAGTACGAGTAATTTTGCATCATTATCTAAAAAATGTGTTTTTTGAGTTGTGCCAGTCTTTTAGTGAACATACGATATGCCTACATGCATGCATATCTACCAGAGATAAAAAAATGAAGCAGTAACGTCAACGGATTGTAATTAAACATACCAGCAACATCATCCCAAATCTGCCACAGTTTCCTTCCCTACGCCGCTGTGCCAATCCACTGCGCTGCAGCTGCAAAACCGCGCAACGCCAACGAACGTCAAACGTGCTGAGCAAATATTTTAGATTACAATAGTATGGCAGCAGGCTGTAGGGAACGGGGCAGTGATGAAGTCCGGGGTCGTTGGTGAATGTGCGCTCTCAAATTCACTTTGCCGTTTTAGAAAAAGTTTCAATACTGAAATCACGCAAACACAACTACAACTACAACATTGTTACAAAGGCAACAATGAAAGTAGCGCGGCAACAACAATGAACACTTTCAAATCTTTCCCAGAACAAAGTACATGCTATGTACTCTAGTTCTTTGAAAAACGCTACGCACGAAATTTTAGAGTAGTGGCAGCAGCGCAATATAATGGAACTCGGCTAATAACGTCTACCGCACCACCGCCAGACCGGTAGACCGACAAACCGATTCGAGGGATTCCTTCAATTCGCAGCTGTATGGCCGACCAGCAACAGAAAAGCGAGACGATAGCGGAAACGCAGCGCGGTAGCAACGTTGACGTTAGCAACTGTTCGAAGTGTCAAAAAGCGAATTTTTCGAGCAGCGGAATCGCTAATTCTGCGTCATGGTATTTATGGGCGTTTTTTTTTCTTCAAATTTATCACTGTGCGCCCTCACAGGTAGTAGATATGTACAAACATATTTAACAAATTTTTCACTTTATTGATTATCTTAAAATTTGTATGCCAGCTTTTTTTCACTTTGATGACGTTTACAGTAGCAGCAAAGGGTTTTTCAATATTTTTTCTTTATTAGTGTTTGTGTGTCTTTACACTATTGTTTGTTGTTTTTGCTTTTGTTGCCACCACACTGTAAATTGCTACCGTAGTGAAATTTTCGAAAACCAACCGCACCAAGCGTACCAACGAGACTGACTGAAAAACTGAATTTACGAACTCGAATAACCAACAACTCGCCACTTTGGCTTTGCCCGCTGTATACGGGTGGCGGCGGGCTGTTCGTCGTTGAACCTCGTCAATGGTAAAAAAAAATTTCAATACGGTTGCCATAAAATGCGCCAACGAGTATCAGAGATTTGCCACCATTCGTTTTCGTATCCACTTTGGTACATACTTATTTACATACATACATACAAAAATTTATAAAAAAAAAAATTCCAATACGTTTTTAGTTTGCTTTTAAATTAAGGATTGAGTTACTTGCAGCCATCCAATAAAATTGTTGTGATTTTCTAGTGAATACTGTTTTTTTTTTAATTAACTTAGTTCGAATTTTTTCTGCTTTCAATCAAATTTGCAAATTTCACACATGTTTTTCGAAATGCTTTTGCGCTGCATTTGCTTGTGAATATGTGTGTTTGTGTAGCACAATTTATGCATACATATGTAAACATACGTATGAACATGCATGTGTATGTATGTATGACAAGACCATAAATGTGTACCACCGACCATTCCCATCATTTCGACACTGTTTTCCCTGCTCTGTTTTGCTTTCGATTCAGTTTTTTTTTCTTATAAATTTTTTTATTCGTTTTTTGGTTTCTTTATCGTTTTTCATTATGCCTTGGCTTGTTTTTCAGTTCGGTTTTCGGGTGTGTGCTCGTCGGGTTCGAAACGAATGAGCGTAGATACGAATAATCACCACTTTGGCGAGTAGAGATTCAACAAAGTGTTTTTGCTTCATCACTGACATTTCAGCATACATTGAATGCGCCAATGTATTGTAGAAAAACATTTCGAAAACTCGACTGTCACGCTTGTTGCTATCACATTCTCACATAATGTCACACACACACTGTCGCAAGCATACGAACACAAACGCACACACGCACACTTGTTGGATTACAAACGAACACTCTGGTTGAAGCACTCATTCCAACCACCTTTTGATTTGATTCTCAAACCATTTTATCGTTACCACGTGATGATGGTGATGGATTTCAATACAGAAATGTCACCCAGTGAGCCATTCACGTGGTGGAGCAGCATTCTTGGGAGGGAAAGTATGACCTCTTGAAGATAACAGTACAGTGAAACCACGTTATAACTAAGTGGGAGGGGTTGGACAAATGCTAACTTATATCTATAGCTTATAGGATGTCAAAACCTCGATACAACGAAAAAATTTATGAATCCATTCCTTTTTTTCTTTTATCAAAATTCCTTATATCGAGGTTTCACTGTACTGAACACCCCTTAGGGCCGGTTGTTCAATGTCTGGTTATCACTACTTGCTGGTTAAACATCATTATCGACGTTTTCGACATGATACATATAATATGTGATCGATAAAGCAGTCGTTGTATTTAACTAGAGCTTCTACCTCCGATTAGTGCTAATCAGACATTGAACAACCGTCCCTAACAGCGCAATTCTTGCTACTATCTTTCAACTCTCCACAGTCTTGCGAAAGACAAAAGTCTTGAAAGCTCTTTTCTGTCTTACCAAAGACTTATTGAAAGCGTTTTTATTTTTGTCTTTTAGCAATAAGTTTCCACAATTAAATTAAACAACAAAATGTATACATATTTAAAACACTAAAAGCCAAAATTTAACAGAAAATTAAATTAAAAAAAGAAAATATCGGATTAAAATAAGAAAAAAAAACAAGTATCTTAAAATTAAATGAAATAAAAAATATTTCCTTTTTAAAGCAATAAAATCTAGACATAACAGAAATAAAAAAAAATAAAATAAGATTTTGTATAAATTAAACGAGGTTAAAAAATATTTTTCTTTTTGCAACAAACAAAAACAAATAATAATTTAAAAAATAAAAAATAACAGCATTCAAAAAAGAAAAAAATTAAAGAAAAACTATTCTTCTTTTTAATATAACAAAATCTTAAAAGTAAAAGATATATTAGAAAATAAAATTATTTCCTAAAGATCTAGTGAAACTAAAAAAAAAAATCTTTTTAAGACAATAAAATCTGAAACTTAAAGAAAATTAAACAAAAAAGAAAAATAAGTGAGTAAGTTTCTAAAAATTAAATGAAGTTAATAAATATTTGTCATTGTAAAACAATAAGATCTAAAAACAAAAAAAAAATGAATTAATAAAAAGTTAAATTAAATAAAAATCCTTAAAAAAAACGAAGTCTAAAAATTAAAAGAAAATCATATTAAAAAAGGAAAAAAATATTTAAAAACTAAGAAAATGCATAAAAATAAATTTCTATAAATTAAATAATATTAAAAATAATTATTTTTTTTCTTTTTATTATAATAAAATAACTATGGACCCGCTTTGTGAAATTGCTAAGTCTTATTTGGCCGACCCTGTACAACCCTATGTGACCAAAGAGCTTTCACCATGAGAGTTGTCAAGTAAGCTTTGTTTCGTAATACTTTCATATGGGCATTCCCATGGTGGCGCACGTGACAGTCGTACGATTTCGATGTGATACAAAAAAGGAATACCATTTGTTTTCTTTAACTTTTTTGGGCCATTGTATAGCACGTAATTAGCTCTATATTTAACCGAAAAATTAAATCAATCGAACTGCTTGGTTCTGAAATAGAAGCATTTAAAGAGAGGTTCGTTACGTGACAAAAAATGGAAGTTGATTTTTTCTTTTCTTGCAAAATCGCAAAACTCTGCGAATTGTGGATGGCTATTTTGATGAAACTTATTTTGATATGATTTGGAGCAATTCTAGTTGTTTTTAGAGTTTTTTGAATTAATGCAAATTGTTTCAATTCTCTTTCACAACCCCAAGTGTGAAACGTGACGTGACGTGGCGTGACGTGACATAAATTTCCATCGTTATATTTTTGTTAATATGAATTTTCAACGCAAATAAAACATGTATTTTATGTAGAATATACTTTATATTTTGACTTCAGCGCCAATTCAGGGTAAATTTATTGGAAATCTATGATTTATTATGTTTCAACCACATACGCCAAATTCGAACCAAATCGGACCATAAATACCGTTTTTCGAAATATCTCGACCTTGGCACCACTTAGGAAGACCATTTTATGCAAACATGATTCTACTTACATAGCCAGTATATATTTTAAAAAGCAGACAAATCGGCCCGCAAATACGTTAGATATAAAACTTTTATTTTTTTGTCATGGTGGACCTTCCGGTGGAAACACCCATATAACATATCTTAGAGATAATTCTGAACATTTCAATGTGAATGTGAATTTGCAATGTCTTGCAGCAGAAAGTTCTCTAAGGCTTAAGATCTTTAATAAATAGGCTGGCTCTATTTCAGACCGAGTTGGCATTAAGCAGAGAGGCTTTAATGTAGAATCCAGTACGTACTCCTTGCGCTACGAATTCAGAATTCTGGGAATGATTTTTTTCGAAGATCGGATAGCTGAGGTGATGGAGGAGCTGTTCGGATTCGTCAGGTAGACGGTATGATTTAATGATATGTTGGAAAGGTTTCTAGAGAAATCTCCACCGGGTCTCTGTGGCCACGGAGTGAACTGTTGAGAAGAGTAGCCTGCCTAACCTAACCTCATTAATCCGGAAAAACTAAAATCTTAGAGTTAATAGGTTTGAGCTCTATCGTAAAATGCGAAACTTTGAGTGCACTTTATTTACCGTCGGATGATGCCGTAAAACTGGGCCCATATTGCACCCACAATTGGAGGAGAAGCTGGGAAAAAAATAGTAGGGGTATCCATCTAAATGCGTAAATGCCTCGTAACCACGTAAACCTCGTAAATTAACCGGTTTTCCATACAAAACGAGCCATTTCCGCATTTAGAACAATACCCATATTGTTTTTATTGAATAATTTAAAAATTTATGAAAAATTTCAAATTCGGCGATAACTCAAACGCATTAAAATATTTCTTCATAATCGAGGTAATGGGAAATACATATGTTTGTATGTATTTTGCACCTGCATATGTACCTACATATGTCTAATGGGGTTTTCATAAAAAATTAAAAAAAAAAAAAATTACAGTCCGTCCCATTTCACCCCAAGCACAGAAATATTATAGAAACTGCCACCGCAATCGGTCATAAATTTTATAAAGTGCGTATTAAAGTTTACATATGTACATATGTATGCATGTGTATTATATAGTGCATTTACAAACATACATACATATGTACATATGTAGAAGCATTTACATGAAAAAAAAGAAAAAAATACCAAGATATCCAGTAAGTAGATAAAAATCGCATAAAAAACCAGTGAAGCTCGAATTTTCGAACTGTTTTTCTAATTTCGAATATATGTACTATATGCAATATACTAAAATACTTGTACATGTGTGTGAATGTTTCTCCATATCAATATTGATATCGAATTCGGAAACATGACACGAAATAATATTAAGTCAATAAAAAAAAAGTTGAGACTACTTGAGAGAAAGGGAGGGGTGAGATGTTACCCGCTGATTTCGAATTGAAGTAGGTAAATAATGAAAAATGTATGGATGGAAAAATTGTAGAAATGTTTAATTAGATAATGGAAATGGTATTCATATATATATTTGAGTGCTCATACATACATACATATATATGTAAATACATACATTCATACGTGTTCGCATATTTATGTGTATAAAAATTTTATATTTTAATTTGTGTTATTTATTAAAATTAATATTTGAAAAATTAACTTTAATTGGATGGAATTTATGGATGGAATTTAGGAAAAAATTTGAAAAAAAAATTATTGCAGGTTTCAATGAAAAAGTTTACTTTTAATTTTAAATACCTTTTTTGTAGAAAGGCAGATGAGTTGTAAACGGGTCTCGAGAAAAACTCTAAGGTACGAGTTCATATCTCATATCTCAAATTTGAAATTTACTTTACAGTCATGTGAAAAATAATAGGGACACGACATTTTGACCAATTTTTCTTTTATGTAACAAAAACCATATAACTCAAACTTTGTTGAAATATTAGAAAAAATCA